CTCAGTACGTAGTAATAGAAAAGCCGGCGATAACCCCGGAAAGAGGTTAGTTACAGGGATAACCAGGCTGGTGTATGGTGCAAGATTCGCAATTCTACGACTACGACTATGACTACGACTGGGTGGATATCTAATACATTTACCTATAGGTACCTACTAACGCAGCTTGTGAAAGAACACGGTGAATGAATGTCTCAGTCCGCCTTGCGCGAGGACATGTATGTACGTGACGGGCCAAGTACGGATTACGGAGTAATCAATGAGAAGAGTTGGATGTCGATAAATAAAAAAGGGGAAAAGCTTAGCGCGCTTGGGATCAGGCCATAGATCATTGTGATAGCCCATAGGAGACAGTCGTGATGCGGGGCTGTATGCACTGATGCAGGCCATGCATGTCCGTCAGTCAAGAGGAGTATGGAGAGAAGTACATGACGAGAGCTGGATGTATGTGGTATGAGGTAGGTATGTATGTGTGTATGTATGTGTATATGCAGGCTGTACATGCATACACATACATAGTAGTAAGAATGGGTGGCCTCCATACATGGAATCCATAGAACATATTCATCTAACATTTCGATACCTTGAGGGATCTCGCAAGGTTGTAGTTGTTTGGTTCGCCTTATTAACTTATTAATATACATACACACGACGACTGATATAAGTTATTATTTAGTATTATTATTACTCTTATCATAGCGACAACCTCTGATACATGTGTATGATATTGATAGATAAAACTTACGATAGTTGAGACACGGACACGGAGTTATTTCCGCTGTTCAGAGAAATATACTACGAGGTACTAACCCACCACAGCTAGAAGGCGACGAGACAACCGAAGCTAGGAGGATTTTTCTATGTCTCGTATCTTTTGTACTGCCCGGACAGCCTTGTCGAATATCTCGGCGCGAGCTCCCAGTTAAGAAGGCATCAACAGCTGCCCGGTCTCTGATTGGTTGATCTCACCCTCCATCACGTCTAATAGAGAAGGCAACTTCAAATGAAGGTTACTCCCGCACTCACATCCCCTCACATCCCGAACACGAACCCCAACTCTAAAAGGCCACATGTTGCTACCAACCAGCTATCAGCTACCTACCTACCTACCAACTAACCTACCTACCTACACTACACACATCAAGAGAAAATTTTATCTCTCGTCCTTCATTCCTCTGCCGCCTTGCCGCGTACTATATTCGATACTTCTTCAGCAAGTCTCAACCAATCAGGTTCTAGCTTTGCAAAGAAGAAAAAAAAAAAAGGTTGCTTCCCTCTCACGGAACTGATTACCTGAAGTTGACAAAGGCTGGTCCCGAAGAAGGAAATAGTTGGGTTGGATTGTCAACCTGGATCTTCCCGTCGTCGTATAGCTGACGCAGCCCTACAGATAAGCCATCAGTCTTGTTTGGTTGTAATTCCTCCCTTGGCCCCCCAGCCTTTCCCGTCGCTTTGGGGCACTTTATCTAAATAAGCTTATAGGTAGGCAGCCTGGCAGAGATTATTAAAGATTTATTCGGCGCACTTTATTCGAGCGTGTGTAATGGTGTATGTACTAATGTAGGCATGTATGTAGGTAATATACTATTTTGAGGACCTCGAACTGAAGCTTGTTCGGACGGCGGCGATATCTCGACTTGTAGAAAGTGGATTTGGAGATTGTCCACTCCTGAACATAGTCCCTAACATAGTAACTACACTACACATCTCACTTAATTCTTCTTATTTGGAAAAGTACAATATAATACAGAGGTAACTACATACACGTACATAGTACATAACTATACATCTCTCTTAACCTAGATATTCCCACTTACACCCACTTATACTACTATGTACGCGCGCTAGTCTCCACTCTAACAGTTGCCAAAAGGGGAAATACGATATATGAAGAGAAGCGTAGTCCGGCGCCCCGTTAGGAGTTTTAAAATTTGACAACTCCCGGCTTTAATCGCTTTTTTACCCCGCAAATAAAAACGAAAAAAAAACCTCTGGCCGCCGCAGGATCCGAGCTTCTAAATACTTTAATACATATATGTAATCATGTAAGTTGTTTTAAGCGCGTCGTATTATACATATCTGATACGGATCCTATATATGTAAATACAATCCTATATCTGGGAGTAGAGGGATGGGAATAGTAACCAATTAACTAATAAACTAACTAATAGGTACTAAGTTACTAACTAATATATACACGTACTTCATAACAAAGATAGGACAGAAGGACGGAGTTCAGGTTCTACGTACACATCGAGACCTGTCTCGAACTGTCTAGGTTAGATACCTAGATAGATAAGAACCTTGAAAGCTCGAAATTACCTTTCTATAATCGTCAACAAAGTAAACTCTGTTCGTTTTCGTTTCGCCTCGTCTCGTCTCGTCTCGCCCACTTGGTCACTTCCCTAGTTTAATAATAACAACATAAACCCACGCTAGGCCAGGCTGCCGAGATTTGGCGAGGCTATACGGACACCCGTTATGCATTACCCTACACTACTTTAGCCTGGAGAGGTCCCCCGAGTTTAACCCGGCCAATCCAAGCCCGTCGACGGCGGTGCTTCTCTCCCCCTCCCCCCCTCCTCAAAGAGATGTCCAAGATGTCCCAAATTGCGGCTGGCCATGGGCTGTCATGGGTTACCTTGTAGTGTACGTATGGATGTTATGGTCCCAGCTCCAATTTTATTGCCGCCAGCCCTTTTTTTATTTTTTTCTTTTCTTTCCTTTCCTTCTTCACAAGAAAAATAAAAAAACCCCCCATGCCCATCCATCCATCCATCCATGTCCTACCTAGCTCGAATCTCTTTCCCTTGTGGGCATCGATGCAACCAACCCAAGCAGCCAAGTCAACCCGTCTTGCAGAAAACAGTCGAAACGGCCCCCAATCGATCCCTATTCTAGGTAATCTGTTGGCGTCGACGAGTCCATTTTCAATTTATCTATACTACGTTGTATAATCTTTCCCACGTGTAGAGCTAGACGCTATCGACGATTTCCGCCGCGCGCGGACGCCAGCCAGCCCATCCATTCATTCTCATGCTAATGCCAGTCATGATGGGGCATGGCAGCCAACCTTTTTAGCCCCCCCCCTTGCCCGTTTTTCTTTACATACCTGTGTAATCTTGTCCTGACCTGTCCAAATATAGTAATTGAGCTGCACTACCAAGTCCTGATAGAGTCGCCCGTTGCGATGCGATGCCCGTGTTCCTCCACCGCGCTCGAGCTTTGATTAATCTTGATGTTCCCGTACGTACCTACTCGAAAGTCGACCGCCTCATGCAGGCGAAGCATGTGGCATCCCGGGATGTTGCCCATATTCATCAAAAGAGCAATTTACTTGTGGGCCGCATGGGAAGGGATATTTAAAGATATCCTTACTATTAATATAATCGCTCGCTCAACAAAACTTAACTACATAGACCTTATAGTTACCGCTATTATAGCTACGGGACGCAATAGCAGTAATCTTCAGTCTCATTTCGTTGCAGAAAATAATTAGCCAGCGGATTACCCCTATGTAGGCCGCATTATTACATACGAGGCGATACCTAGTCTTATTATTCCGTATGTGCTTAACAGTCCCTAATAGCAGCAACCGAAACCAGCCGTGCTCGGTTTACATATCAATAAGTAATCAAGACCCTGGTCACTTACGGTAGCACGCAGTATATCAAAACGGAAGCCGATCTTATTTCTATTTTCCTCAAAGAGGAAAAAAAAAAAAAAAGAATCAAGGAGGGGAGGCGAATCAGAATTCGCCCACTCGCTACAATAATCGACCAATTAACAGCCATGAGAAATACGGGACCAGGCTCGCTCCAATCTAACGTACCTAACCTTTCTTCCCCCCCTTCCCTTCGCAAGAACCCCCCACAGACTCAGGTGGCTCGTCTGGGGTTCTCACGACAAGGCCCTGCCGCTGTTGTACGTATGTAAGTAAGGGTAGATAGTGTAATGGCATGATAAGCTGCAGAGCAACATACAGATCGTCGCGGGTACATACGCGTATGTATCCATCTATACATACATACATACACGAGTCATGAAAGAAGATGAAAATTTGAGAGATCTCCTGACAGGGGGGGTTGGAGTTTGGTGATTCGACTCAACATACTACATGTCAGATTACATAAAGCGTTACGGAGAGCGTTTACATGGAAGCAGATGTGATGCCAAGAGTATCAGGTAGAGCTATGCGAGTTGTAGGACTCGCCGATGAGTATACTATGAGGTAAGCAGACTAGAAGTATGGTAGACAGCACAGCACAGCACGCACAGCAAATCCTCCCAGACACTCCTCCGGCAGAGACGCGGCGGGCGGTGCGGTTGCAACATCGACACCATTTAGCGATCGCATCGAAGAAAATCTCGTCGCAGAAATATGACTGTTGCGAAAGGGGATGTAGCGTGATTCCTGCGATGTTGCTGTGACATACCTGACACATATACACATACGTTATTTTGAGTGCTTACGGTATTTCAACACACGTACACTATATTAGACATATTTATTATTAGCCATCTCCCTTGTTTCCCCTGTTCAATGCGTGAGTTCTGCCTGGCCGACATGTGCATACCGTCGCTCAGCTCGCTAGGGGCTAAGGGGGACAGTCGTCGTCAGAGGCTTTTCAAGGGGGTCGGTTTAGACATCAACAGAAATGTCACTTCGGCGTAACATTGCGAGCCGGCGAGATCTGCCTATCTCAGCCAGCCCGCTGTAACTTCAGCACGAACAAAGCGATTCGTTAAACGTGCCAGACAGAATCTGCCCCGTGACAGCTGCCGGAAGCCGCTAGAGATGCAACATGACGCCCCATTCGCTACCAGCTAACGTCCGCTTCTGGTCACCTCCCTTCGGGAGTTCGATACACTCGAGCTATTGTGTGGCCAAATTCGCAAAGAGAAATGGACTCTGCGCTTGTGCTGTTGCCATCTTAGGAATATCGTGCCTCGCATGCTTAATGCCTAGAGCCGATTTGAACCTATCAAGACCTCCCTATCTAGTCGTCATCACTATCTTCGACCAGATCTTCCTGGTCGTTAAGTGCCAGCTGCACGAATTGGCGAACCCATGCTTCGTCTCTCGCATCTAGTTGGCCATCTCCGCGGAGCACATCGTCCTCCCCCATCCTATTCTGGCCGTTGCGACCGTTGTTGTTCATTTGTTGGTTCTGCCCCTGAAGTCGATTCCGGTTGTTTTGCCGATTTACCCCGGGGCCTCTACCTCTGCCTCTCCTATTTCCTCGGCCCCCTCGCAGACCCACGTTGAAGGCGTGGACTTCACCATGGTTGTTTGGAATGCCGGGCTGACGACGTCGCACTATATCCTGAGCCGGCGGTACGCCGCCCTCGATCCGGAGTACAAGCGGCCCTTCACGGGCCACGGCGACTCTTCCATTAGGCTGATCCCTTGGCAGTTGGCGTTGGTCGCGTCTTGGCCGCGGTTGCTGGCGTTCTATCGCTACTGGCGCTTCGCCATCAGCCTCGTCAGGCTCGTTAACAATGCGCTGTTGAACAATTTCTAAGTGTTGTCCGTTTCGGCCAGGCGCAGCGGCTATGTTTCTAACCTCATTCCCCTCGTGTTCGATCTCAATTCCGTCACCATCTAACTCCCATAGCCTCATGTAGCAGGCGCTTTTCTTACCTGAGGGTTGAACGTTGTAGTGTTGATACTGTGATGTCTAGGGTTAGCCACTGCCACTTTCAAGTGTTTAGTACGATTCGAAGTCTAAGGCTAAACCCGAGCCCCCAACTGTCAAATGCACTCTAAAGGGGCAAGTGAATATGTCCAACATGGAAAATATCGGAATTCTACTCACCGGGTTAGAAGGATCGAGCCAAGCAGAACAGAGGTAGCAGAAGTGTGTTTGGCATCTGAAGCAGCACATATGGTTGCAGCCCTGTGTTTTCTGACATGGAGCATCGCAGGTAGGACACGGGGTGGTGTACGTCTTCAGATACTTCAGCGACGCCTCCTCCTCCTCCGTGATCTCGTCTTTTCTTTTTTGCGGCGTACAATATTGGAATTCGCCATGCCACGACTGTCGACATCGAGTACAGAAAGCGAATCCACAGTCCTCGCAGATAGCAAGCAAAGCTTGGGCCGATTCATTCTTCTCCGTATCGTCCTCCGCGATGTCATCTATATCGGACTCGGACGGTTCGACGAATTCAAGCCCCTCGGGCTTCTTATGATTCTTTGATCGAGCCGCGCCTTGGCACCACGGTCGAGGACAATATACAGTGTTCTTATCCGACTCGAGTTCATTTTTGTGTCTTAGCGTGACGTAGCGCATGACCATATCCCGCTCCAGGGGGATTTGTAAGAGCTCGCTAGGGCTGATGAAGGTCTTGGCTTTCTTTTTCCTCATGGAACCTTTAACAGCATCCTCTCGTTCCTTTGCACATTTTGGCTGGAGACATCGTATAGAAGCTATATCGCCTTCCGTAATAGCATTGTTATAAAAAGCCTGTAAACACTGTACGCAGAAGACATGGCCACAGTCGAGCATCTTGTGGCAAACGCTCCCCTTTTGAGGATCTGATCTCGAGTATTAGTTATGTGCATATGTAGTAAATCGCCTCCTTTTTGGATATTTACCTAAACAGATATCGCAATTGAAAGTTTCTTTGTCGAAAGCCCTCTGCTTGGCTTTAATATCGTAGTCAAGGATCTCTATCTTGTGTTCTAACCCAATTCTTAAACGCCCATCATCGTCGACTAACCCAAAGACTGTTTCAGAAGACAGTTGTAAATTATCGAGATATGCAAATATGACTTGATCGCGTCCGAATTCTTTCCACAGTGTCACCACCTCGGTTTCGAGCTTGCGTAAGATATCCCCTGGCAGCCAAGGAGGCGAAACCGAAATATCGACTCGGGGTGGCTCTTCTAGGGGATATTCGTCCGGAAGTTGTATAACGACGTGCAATGCTGGTAGATTTGACAAGGCGTGTGAATCTACGGCTGTGACCACTGGGATTTGGCCCTGTACTGACTCGACCGAAGGCGCGCCTTCGGTGGTAGCTGGGAAGAATACAGTTACTGGATTTGCTAAGCTCACAGGCAGCTCGATTGATATCTTATAAGGGTCATTTTCGTCGACGTGTAACTCGGGATAGATGGATGCTATCGTAGATATTTCAACTTGACGAATGTCTTCCTCCGCCATCTTGACTTATGGTTCACGTCACCGGTTGGCATAAAGGCGTATGTAGACGTGATTGTTTATGGGCATCTCCATGGGTTTGTGTTTCTAATATACTATTTCCTCTTTCCTCTCGTCGGCCGGGCAATGTGAGCATTCACCGCCTTGCAACTCTCTTTGCGAGTCTTTGCGAGCTACTAAACTTAGTATCTGAATCACAGACCCGAATCTTATGCTATAGGTTGTGCGAATAGTGAACTTTTAAATCCTGTAGGACGTTTAGATTTGGAGGCCCCAAGGGAACATTAGAAAAAAAAAGGTTAAATCTATCCTCTCTATATTAGGTATAGGCTAGGTACTCAGGAACAAGAGACAAAATTAGGATCAGGGTTTAAAGTGGCGTCGATATGAGAGACGGTATGACTCAAACGGCGAAAAAGAGCAGTGGGGCAGAAAGATGTTAAAGGAACCTTAACTTACAGCCATTATCATAAACCGTCTATCGATATTGAAGGTGAGGGGCAAAAGAGCAGAAGGCGCAACTTTATTATGACGCCTAAGTATTACAACAGCAGCTACGAAGGCCCGGGCCTTCGTACCTCCTAATAGGCTAACATAACATGCCTCTAGAGCTAGAGCTTAGGAGGTTTAGCGCACCTGCTATCTCCGCAGTGTATGTACCTTTCTGCCCAACTGGCTGACAGCTGACCGCTTTTTGCTTTGGCTAATGACGAAACGTCTTAGACCCTTGTTAGATCCGAAGTACTTCGTAGATTCTAGTGTATGTCGCGACTTTTCATAACATCGTGAAAACACTAAATGCTTTAATTTGGTCTACGTATCTGGACCTAGATACATACCTGTTAGCGTTGGACATCAGACAGGCTAGGTAGTCTGGTACTGGAGCCCGATTCTTGATCTCCTATCAGACGGAAACGCCACTTATATCATATTATATTTTAGTTATACAGAATTCTCGCTTTAATACTCATTTTCAATCCTATTGCGCCGGGGGCAATGCGTTGCTAAAATAATTCTAATCACTCTTGCCTTAGCCCTCTATCTAGTCCGCCACTCACAGCCACCTTATACAACTCGCCTCTTTCTTCAGCCTATCCGGCATGTCTGACGATCCAGTGCCCCTGGCATCTCTGTCACTTACGCACGTCCACTATGTGAGCTCATACGTATCTGTCCGGCTGGACTCCGTTCCAAGGCTAACCAGAGCCCCCCCAACCCCATAGGACCCCTCCGATCCCATATCCTACCTCTGCGCCTGGCTGGCCCTGATCCCCCAGGGGCTATGTGTCATGTACGCGACGCTAATCTGGTCGACCCGCGAGATCGAAATAGCGCTTCTGTTCGCAGGCCAACTCGCCTGCGAGGCCCTCAACTTCGCGCTTAAGCGATTTATTAAGGAGGAGCGACCGCGTCGCATGTACGGGAAGGGCTATGGAATGCCGAGTAGCCACGCGCAATTCGTCGCGTACTTCGCCGTCTCGATAACCCTGTTTCTACTGCTTAGACACCAACCGCCGAGTCCCAGAGTCAGGAAACGGAATCATACGTCGATGAGTTTGCTCGAGAGGGTGGGATGGAGCGCGATTGGGTTGGGCATGGCGGCTGCGGTTTCGTGGAGTAGGGTATACTTGAACTATCATACCGAGAAACAGGTCCTAGTAGGCACTGCCGCCGGGGTGGTGAGTGCCGTGGGTTGGTTCATTATTACGACTATAATACGGCGGTCGGGCTGGTTAGCATGGGCATTGGACACACCTATAGCTAAGTTCTTCCGCGTTAGGGACCTCGTTGTGGAGGAAGATCTGTGCCAGGCTGGCTGGGAAAAATGGGATGATAAGATGACAGCACAAAAAGCTAAGCGAAAACATAAGTAAACTACTCGTCGTAGCTTAAGGTTAAGTTAGTTAAAAGTTCAGGACTACTTTGATGAATGGCCATGGCGAAAATAAACTTCATCACAAGCTGTCTCGAAAGAGCTACGTATACGTAATGAAAAAATATAAGGCTGCTCTATCGAAGCAGTAAGGAGTATGCTAGATGCTACGAATGAAAGTTAACGCCATTTCAATTTGTAGTATACCCTAGTCTCGAGGTAACTCTTGAAATGCTAACTGGTTACAGTATATTCAAACAACTACATTTAATTAAGATGTCATCACAACATCCATATCACCATTCCCCACCAATTTCATGCTACTTAAGCTGGGCGCGAGACTATCCATTTCCTGCAGGGTATATTCCACCAGATAGCTCTCCTCAACCAGCTCTTCCATACGCTTATAATGCCTCTCGGTATAGACCTTGAGCGCGTTCAGGACCTCCTTCACACTCTTCTGGCCCCGGGCTCCCTTAACAGATAGATTAGAGAAACGCGACGCTGGGTAACTCTTTATGAGCGCCCAGAGAATGCGTTGGGCCATCGGTGCTGTTCGAGCGTTGGTATTCCAGTCTCTCAGCCTTAGCAGAAGCAAGAATAGCTGATCGTCTGAAAGAGACGCTAGCACTTCGTCGACTGCCTTTAGGCCTGAAAGACTCTCGGGATCCGCCGTCTTCGAATTGACTACCCGTTCGAAAAGGCTCTGAAGCTTGCGAGGGTGGTTGAGTTGAAGCGCCATTGTGATTGCCTCGCGGTAGGCTCCCACGTATTCGTAATTCTCAAGTTCCTGTTCTTGCTCAATACGCTTTAGAGCTGCTTCATTGGAAGCAGTTTGCGTCTCGCTCGAAGTATCCTTCCAAAACGTTACAGTTGAGTCACCGCTACCGGAGACAATCATATTCGTCTCGGGATGCACCGCGAGAGCCCAGACTCGGTCCTCATGGTTATCCAATGTGCATTCGTTCTCGCCGTTATTGACGTCCCATACTTTCACCAGCCCATCTCCTCCAGCACTGGCGCATAGGATGGGCTTTTTACCACGCTCTTCGTTTGGAGGGATGTTAAGCCATACTACTTTGAGGACCGTATTCGAATGGCCCTCAAATGTTCTCAAACATGTGTAATCTGTAAGATTCCAGAGTTTGACAGTCTTATCACCGCTTCCCGTGAGTATTACGCCTTTCCCAGCAACTGATCCTTGCTCGCCCTGGAGCACGGGTGTGCTAGGGGGGGCGAAACTAACAGACCAAACACCTCGCCGATGGCCTCGGAGGATGCCTTGCACTTCTCCCTCTTCTATCGACCATATTTTCACGGTTTTGTCCTGGGAAGCCGAGGCAAATAAGCGTGATGCATGATTCATATCGATGGCATTGATATCCCTGTCGTGAGCTTTTCGTGTATAAGCAGCTCTAATGGTCGTCTTTGCGCCCTGTTGGGGCTCTTTAGGTACCTCCCAGCGTTTTATAGTTTGATCCGACGATCCCGTGATTAGGAATGAAGGTGGGTGGCTTAATGGATCAGCATATGCCTTTGAACCTTCTACTGGTCGACTTCGAGGCAATGCCACGGCCCCGACAGATTCGGCATGTCCTGGAAATGTTGCCCAGCAGATATAAGAATTATTAGCCGGGTCTACTCGCCACAGCTTTGCGGTGTTATCTTTAGCACCCGTAGCGACCCAGTGTCCAGACCAGTCAGCATCAAGCGATATGATGATGTCTTCATGACCCTTGAGAAGTGCAATATCCTGCCCAAAATACTCAGAAGACACTATAGCTTTCGATCCAGGCCTTCGCCCAGTTACCGAAACTATCCGGATGTCTTCGGAGTTCGTTGCTAAGGCCATTGCAGAATGGTCTGGAAGTAGATACCGTAAGTCTATGATATCGTCGTGGGTGCCCGAAATTCGACGAAACGGTTCAGGAGGCGGGAGTTGGGATTGCTTGTGGACATCGGAGGGAATATCATATAGAGATAGAGTGTGATCGACCTGAACACAAACTACGAATGGGAACTCTGGCCTGTAAACAGCTCCTACAAAAGCTTCAACCTCAGACTTCGGCGCTTGTTCTTTTGTGAGTTCACGGCCGGTTTCTGTGTCCCAAAAGCGTAAGCAGCCGTTCGACCCAGCAGTATAGGTGAGCTGGCCATCCCCAATAAATCCAGCTGCCTCAACGAGTTCGAAACATGGAACGACCTTCCGCACTTTCCAAGACTTTGTGTCCCACCATCTGATCGTTTTGTCCCTACCGGCAGTCACCAGCACATTTTGAGAGGGAGAATAATCCAGGCCTTGGACATCCGAAACGTGCGAGTCGAGGTTCGCTACAACACTCCTCTTATGTAAGTCCCATATACGAACTTTTCCATCTTGACTTCCTGAGGCCAGTCGGAATTTCGCCGTGGAACTTGTGTCATTTCTATCATCTTCAGTTGCGCCCTTTGGTTTTCCCTTTCTCCCTTTTTCCTTTGTGTCGTTTTCCGGGGCGCTTGACGAACCTGCGGCAAGCTCGAAAAAGTGAAGGGCAGACACAAGCACGCTCGGCCCTCGAAAAGTATGTGTGACATAACCGCCATTTATATCCCAGACTTTAATAGAACCATCGGTTCCTCCAGTTGCTAAGAGGGTGCTAGTTCTATCGACGGCGAGAACGACGACGGGAGTCGAGTGAGGTTTGAGCGTTCGTACCAATTGAGGTTCTATCGAGTCGCTTGAGGCTTTGAGGGAATATATCCGCATGGATAACGAGCGAGAGCATATAATGAGGTGGGATCCCGAAGGAGTCACTGTATTACAATGAGCTATGGTGCGCTTGGTTTTGACGAATGTCTACATCACTTACAAGTTAAGGTAGATATTAATTCTCCATCCTATAAGATATATGTCAGTGTAAATCCAGTTAGTAATAACCACTCAATCACCAAATACTGACCCCTTCCACTGTCGTGATATGTTTTCCAGTCTTGATGTCGGTCAAGACTGCATCCTCACCGAGAGTTGTTGCGAGGATTCGTGCGCCATTCTCCAATGCGACAGCGCCACCTGTAAAAATGGGCCGAATTACTTCGCTGGCCTCGAAAGTTGTTTTAAACGGCGCCTTATTCGCCATTTCGGAACTGCGCA